CTTATAATTTTAAAAAATCATTATAAAAGCTAAGTTAAAGAAAAAATTATAACGCACAAACAATCGTGTTTAAATAAGTTGTTCTTTAAATTACCAAAGTTTACTTGAATTCATTATTGTACTGTGATACAAGTCCAATACATAAAAAATTAACAACATTAATATATTTTTTTTAGAGATTCGCATGAGACTAATACTATATGAGTCTAATTTGTATAAGAAATAAACATTATCTTAACTAAAAATTTTAAAACAACATATTTTTAGGTCTTAATATAATACTCAACTTTCTTATCTTTATTTAATAAAAAATTTATAACCATACTTGAATTCCCATAAAAAAACAACATATTTATTCAAAGGAGTATATTTTATCAAATATTAATTAAATCCCATCAATTATTTTGTGAACCCTTACATAAATATGAAGGAACATTTAGATTTAGAGTTTTTAAGTTGAGTATTACTTCAAATTTGAATAAACATATCAATATCATTATAATGTTAGGCTTATGATCTCATAACCAAACATCCAGACATCACTTAGATGGTCTTTATGGTGAGATGTTATTGATGATCCAATTTGGTCCTATAACATGTCTTGTCAATCAATTTCAAGCAATGATGTATGAGAGGGTTAGTATATATAAACATAGATATAATGTAGAAGTATATAATCAATAGTTAAACCACCTGAAATTTTTAAACTTGAACCCTGCAAATGTAGTTTTAATCATGACACATAAAACCATATTTATGTTGTTGTTCAGCTCCTGGGAAAAGATGTCTAAAACTGAAAGCTTTTACCCTTGATATTTGATATTGATCACAATAAGCTAATATTGACTTTAACTCAGTTGAGTTTTCTATTCCTCCTTCCTCTTCTTCTTTACCTAAGAGATATTTAAAAAGACAAAATTCACATTTTTCTATGTATTACTTTGATTTTAGAGTTTATCAAGAATTTATAAAGACAAGTAGAAAAGAGAATTATGGGATATGTTCAAGGTTATGAGATGAAGAACTTCTAATGAATCATAACCAAGTGCTTATATGTCAACTTAATTAATTTTAAGGTTTTCAGATTAATAAATAAAAATAGGAACTTGTGCATATGAATTTCAACTTCATGAACTCATTCTGTGCAAATGATTTGCCTCAAAGTGTGTTAAGGGTGATGTCCTGTAAACTTAATGCATGGTAAATAGCCATTGTTTTATGAAAAAAAAGCTTTTATTTGGGTATCTTTAATAACTAATTTTATTTTATGAAAAAAAAATCATTTTTATTTTTTTCACCATTTTTTAAAAGTAGAACGATTAAGAAACTGGTCAAGATAATATTTTATTTATGATTAAAAAGTATTATATCCAATTAAATAAAATGAAAAATGTCATTAAATAAATATACAGTATGATAATTTTAATATTAATAAAATGAAATATTATTGTATTTGACTTTGCATTCAAAATATATACATATATATAGAAATCTAAATCACACACTTCATAATATTCATGTTAACTTAATAAAATAACAACAATAAGTTTATATAAAAATTATAAAAAATCAATATAATATAAATTATAAAAAATTAAACTGACATAAATGACTATTATATATGTTTTATAAATAACAAATGAAAGATGATAAAATAACTCATATAAATGTGTAAACTTTATTAAAATAATTTTCTTTATTTAATTTTTAAAATTAAAAATGTAAAAAGAAAAATTGCTAGTTCAAACTGGTTCTCTTGGGAGGAGTTAGAGTTTTTGACCTATCTGATATCTGGGTTATCCCATTCGAGCAGTCAAATTTCAATTTTGGTTTAAATAAAGTAAAAAAAAAATGGTTAAGTAGGGATAATATAGAGTAGATAATAAATAACTCCATTGGAATATGCAAATGGCTCGAGTAAATATGTATAATAAGAAATGAACTGTGTTTTTAGAAATTTTTAAAACGTTTTACTAGACGAAATGATAGATGTAGTTGTTTTTGAATAAATGATAAAATTTAAAAGATGAAAATACTACTTTTATTTTATTTTATTTTTTTTTATAATTGCACTTCTATCAAATGGATGGAATCAAGATTTTGTTCCTATAATGATTTGTTTCATTGGAAAATATATTTACCTCTTTATAACTTGTTAAATTTTATTAATAATATATTTTTCTAATGCAGGTATAACTACTTATTACTTATAATATAAGATTTCTCTTAAGTTCTTCAAACTCTTATAATATGGATACTCATTTGGAGGAGACAAGTATTATTTTAACACACAAATAACCACTTTTTTACATACAAATATTTTATAGAGAAAAAATATTAAACACGAAAGTTTAAATATAAATTAGAGTTTTATATTCTTAAAAAAAAACCCGCAAAATTGAGTCTATTTTAAATTTTGATAACTCTCTAATATGTGAAATGGAATGAATAAATTATTATTATTTTTATTGAATGTTAAGTCTTTTTGACATATTTAAAGCGTGGTTTTAATTTTCTACTTTCTTTATAGATTTAACCCTTCTTTATTATTTATTTCCTTTAATTAATTATTTATTGTTCACAGTTCTTTTTAGTCAATTTATCTACTATTCCTTTGGAAATTTAATATAGATATGTTTAAACAAATACATTTGTATATTAAGCCTTTTTAATATAAGTAATATGTAGTTGTAATCTTAGTATATACTATTTGCATTCATTGTATATTTTATTAATCTTTCTCACTATTTTTTATTATTATTCTTTTATTCTATTATTTTTGCATGATAAATGTTATAACAAGAAGCATTTAAAATCATTTAGAAAGTATGAATCTCATCTTCATCTTTTATTATACTTTTAGATGTCATAAGAAGTTTGAATAAATGATTCTATGCAAAATAGGAATTCAAAACATGAATAAGAACTAAAATTTTAATTAAAAAAACTAAAATTTACAAGAGATCAAATACAATGAAATAATATGTTCGCTACATTCTACTTCATAACGTACTTTTATTTCTATGTTTTTTTAGACTTAAAAAAATTGCTTTCATTGTATGTTGAGTCGTAGATATAAGTTATGCACAAGGTTATACGCACAACTATATTTAAATGAATTAAAAAGAAAATAAGTTTTGAAATGTAAAAAAAAGTAGAAATATTTTATGACTTCATTAATTGATTAAGTTTTTACATAATCAATTAAATTTTTGTGTATGAGAAGTTTGAGAACAATATAATCGATTATAAATTTAGTTAATTGACTAAACCAGATAACACTTTTAAGTGCTTTCAAAGAATAACTCATTAAACTCTTTCTTAGTCAATTCACTTCTTTTTCAATATCAAATGGAATGCCAATTTAACCTATTAATACAAGTTATAACTAATTAAAACAAAAAAGTGTTGAAAATATTTTTCAAAATTCAGTTAAAATAATCAATTAGAAGCTTGAAATAATTGATTAAAAGTGTCACTATTTGTTTTAAATCATCATTGTGAAAACTCTATAAATAGTGGTTGAATCTCAATCTTTTATACTATGATTACAATCATATAAGTGAATTAAATTGAGATCATATGGACAATTTTCAAGTTGTCAAATTGTGCTTACAAGATTTAACATCAAAGGTTGTGTTTTGTGATAAATCCTAGTGAATAGCTTTTGTTGTGAAGTTTGATCATTGAATTTATTGGTGGACTGTTCACCGTTGATATCTTTTTGTTGTCAAGATTTGATGAGGCAGAGATTCTCCAATGGGATCAAGAGTAGATAAAGTTGATATTTTCTTGATGAGCACAAATATGTTGATAGTGAAACCAATTTTAATGAGGCCAATTAAATCCGAATGTAAAATCATTGGATTTAAACTAATATAAACTTTTTGGGCAATCTTTCCCTTATTTTATTTTAACCAATCTTGTGTCATTCTTAGTTTATAAATCGAATTCCATTAAATATTTTAAATTGAAATTGTTTTTAAAATACTAAAGACAGAAAAGAAATACAAGGTGTGACTTTGCATCTCTAGACCTAATTGTTGGTATTGAAACTCTCACATAGGTGCAGGAAGCAGTGAATTAAAGGGGAAGAGGCAAAAGGAAAGAACAGGAAGCAGTAAGTAATGAAGTAAAGAAGAAGAGCCAAAAAGAAAGAACACAAAGGAAGTAAAAATGAAACAGTAAGTAGTGAATAAAGAAAGAAGAGGAGCATAAACAAAGACAATACGAAAGAAGCAAAGATGAAAACAAAGAAGAAAGGACAAAGACCCCCACATAGAGACCGGAGAAAACAGCATTCTTAGCTGTCCAATTAATTAATGGTTAACCGTTTTTGCTCCAACATGTTCACAGCGAATCCCAGAGACAAAAGACGCATTTCCATCTACAGTTATCAAAAGTACATCCCATTGCTTTGCGTTCACCCTATCATCATCCCTTCACAAACAAGAAACTTAAACACATAAACAAACAATAAATAAATACTTATGCTGCTTTCTTACATACAAAAAAGTACTGCTACTAAATTTTATTTTCCAATAAAGCTGTTCCTTCACTGTTTACACTGTTACAATTATTAATTCCTTACCAGAAGCTAGGCGACACAACCCCACTTAAACCACAAAACATAACAGACACACAAATTCAACACTACAATTCAAAGCCATGTTTTGTCTTTTTCTTTCGTGTTTAAGAAAAACAAAAATTCCACCCACTTATCTATCTATCTATCTACCTTGGTGTGCTCTTTTCCCTTTTCTCACCAAAACACTCCTATTGTACGTACCAAGATCGTGATCCAGATTTTATGTCCCTTCTCAATGTCGTCCCATCACTTTATGGCTTCAAAATTTTCAATTTTTTTTGGTTAACTACACCGAGATGATATGACATTATGACTAATGACATGGTCACTTTCTGATGGACCATTGGGATAAATCACAAACGTTTTTTCTTCTTTACTTTACTCTCTCTCTCTCTCTCTCTTTGCGAGTTCTTGAGCACGGTTTAGTTAATTCAAGAGTTGTGGATCGTTGGATTGTTTCCACATAGAGTGATTTTCCTTCTTTTGAGGTCCCTCTCTTGTCTCAGAGGAGAATCAGCAACGGTGATTCCGTTGGTTTTTTCACTTTCTGAGCTGAGAAAATGATGGTCCAACACATTAATCGGTGTGTCTGACCTTGAAACCCCATTCAACGCAGACTCGTACTCCTCCTCTATGGCTATGTCTTGTATCACTTTGTAGCACTGCTCCACGCTTTCCTGCAGTAAATTTTTCGTACCCTCTATTAATTTCGTTCAACATTCAAAATATGCTTTCCCACTTTCCCTCTTCCCCTCCAAAACAATTCATAAATACTCTAATAAAATAATAATAACAATAAGGGAGGAATGTGTTATCTGTACTTTATTTACATATGAAGACTCGGTTATTGCTTTTAAGAAGGACGGATATTGAAAAGGAAACAACTCATGAGAAGCACACAAAAGAGCAGATGCAGCAGTCATAGATGGCTTGAACTCCCAAAGCCTTATCTCTGCACAGAAACAAGATCACAATTATTAAATTAGAAGTGGGTATTGAGTATTGTTCATACCATATATCATGCAGAATGACTTTTTCACCACTCAAAAACCCATTGATATTATATATAAAACGATGAAAGAGAAGACAGTGTGAAAGTATGACAAATAACATTTCCAACTGTTAATGCAGTGTTTGGAAAAAAAAATGTACAAAATCATTGACTATATCATATTTTATGAATCTATGAGTACCTCTTTGTGACATGAATATGATTTCAGAAGCACGGTTTTTCAGAACCCTCCCCATTGGTGAGCCTTCGATACCCATCAAGGCAATGAAGAAAGGTATGAAAGAGAATGGAGTGATCGACCGCATTCTCCATTGTAATGCTCCCAAGATAAGTGCTTCCATTCTTCGCACTGTTTGTGTCTCAAAGATGATGCCCCCATCACTTTGATTCAAAATATCCTAATAAATAAACCACATTCAGTGAATACACGTACCAAATTACCAATCTTTTCTTATAAAACCCTCTTATGATACCAGCAATAAACTACTTAGAATGCATGATGGCGATTTTACCTGAGCATCTGGGCATTCAGTTCTCATCATCTTGACAGCTAGAGAAATACAAGAGACAGCAATGAGCCTGAGGACCCATGACTTTGGTTGCTGTTTCATAAACCAAATTTGAGTCACGTCTTAAAAAGGAGAAGAATCCAATAGATAGGTACTATTACATGTTCTTTTTACTTTAATATTCAAACATAAGAATATGAATGAATAGAATTGAAGAACAATGAAGAAAATCAGCAAACAAGTAGCACATTTGGATTCTTTACCGAAATTCCTTGGCTGGCTAGGAACCGATCCAGATAGTTGGTAGCAAGATAAGACAAAGCCGGATCCAAAGTGCAGGACAACTGAACAAGACCAACCAATGCACACTGATATTATGTTCATAAAAAGCTATTCTTTTTTTTTTCTCAGACAACAGTCAATGTTTCGGCACTCACCTTTGCGATTAAGGAAAGAAGTTCTCTTCTGACAGAGATGTCAAGATCTCTAGCTTTGAGAGTGTGAGAATGATTCTGTGATAGGGTGTGGTCAGATTCAATGAGGAAGAGATAAGAGACAGCATCGGAGTGAAGATTTTCCAAAGGGTTTTCAAGGTCAAACTCCATGGACGAAGTGGTGGTGGAAGAAGGTAGTACTGAATGGGGCTTAAAAGGCAAGGAAAAGCATGCTGAAGGAGGCAAAGTGATAAAGGTAAAGCTGCAGAGAGATACCTCCGAGTTCTCTCAGCTTTCTTCAAATGAATACCATGGCATGGAGTTGCTTCGGTTCTACAACAGCTTTGCCACTTTTCTTTTTCTAGCTCTGAGCTTTGCTAGTCGCTGCTCTCTCTTTATTGGTGTTGTTGCCTTCCGCGCCTCTCTCATCACCCTATTGTCTCTCTTTGCTATATATTAATTTTGGGAAAATGGGAGGTTTTTGGTCCACCGTGTTCAGGGTTGCATGAGATGATGGTGCTGTGGCAGGACCAGATTGGTTGAAGCACAAGTCAATTTTAATGGGAAAGTTTAGTTTGACATAGAAGTGTTGAATTGTGCCCTCTTTTTCTGCTTTTAAATGGAAAAAAGGGTGAGAGTTAAGACGGTGGGTGATGATAATTCGATGAAACCACGATCAGTTTTTTTATTTTCTTGATCTTGACCTTAATGCTTAATGGCACACTCCTGAATAAGAGGAACAAATTCATATTAATATTTAATACCAGCAAGTCCAAAAATCGAACGGAAAATGCAACCAAAATGCTACTACTATCTATTCTTGTAATAAATACGTTTCCTCATTCATCAGCGATTTTGATTAAATTATGCTGCATTTTTTCGGTGGATCTGTGGAATTGAGCATAAAAAAGTAGCAGCTGACAATGAAATGCTTTAATGAATACTGATCCCAATCCTATGGTTATTGGCTACGGCAATCCGCATGCCCGAATTCAATGTCACTAATGAAGCATTATTTCCTATGATAAAGTAAGGGACTAGATGCTGATAATCACTTTCTTCAAAATCTCTCTAGTCACTGCCATGGATTGAACTTGAACAAATTAAGAGTTAATGTCAAGTTTATGCATGTTACTTATTGATGAAAGCCCGGTTGGTATACATATTAATTAGAAAAAAAATATGTTTTTATTTTTCACACATATAGAACAATTGTGTTTGTTACTTACATACACAATAAAGGTCCGACACAGTAATAATCCCTTACCCAATCCTAGATCATGATCAAATAAAACTTTAGAACCAAATTTCAGTGAGAGGGAAATCCAATTAAAGTTATATTTAATTTATATGGGACCATGTTGATCTGAATTAACATGTATAATTAATTATTCAATTGCAGTTCAAATTTGAACTGAACAACTAACTTAGTTCAAATTGCTTTAAAAAATGACTAACTTACATGATATGAAAGAAGAGGCTGTGAGTGAAACATATATAGTTGAAATTAAAAAGGACTCTGTTGTGTCTGGGTCCACGGTTCTTCTTCTGGATCCCATATTGGTCTGTGTGTATTAAGTCCCACGTTGAATCCTGGAAAGGAAAACTATGATCTTGTCTCTAGTCATTGTTGAACCAAAAAGAAAGGCACAAACTAAACACGGTTTTGAAATCAAGATTTTTTTAACATATTGCACGATGACTTTGGTGGGACTGAATATGGACAACCATATAAAATACAAAGATAAACATGACAAAGTTTTTTATTTATAGATGTAAAACACTAGAACGACCGAACAAGAGGGACACAATGAATCGTATCTGCCATCACTATAGAAAGTCTTCAACTTGTGGTTGGGAAATGAGAAGGTGAGTTCTTGGTGCATTTGGGGAAGAAACAAAAAACTGATTTCATTTCTGACCCTGTTTTGATCCTGTTTTTTCCATTCGTTTTATGTGGAAAAGACTAATTGGTTGAATTAGAAACTAATCTTCTTGACCAAATTATGATTCTCGATAAACATGGGAGATACATGGAGAATTTATTTTCTCAGACAAAATCCAGGATTGGGAACTATCTATTGATGTTTTCTGATGTAACAAAACATGCGTAGTGTAGCAGGAAAAAACATCCTTGAGTGAGTAATGATGTCTTATAAAGTATATAGAGGTTGAATTTCTTGGTTTGTTCTGGTTGTCTGAGGATCGTGTCTTGGTTGTGCAGAAATGTTCAAGCGTGCTTCATATTTTATCTTATTTTAAATGCTTTACACTAAAGCATCCAATTAATCCTTAGAACTACAAGTTTCATTATTAATCCATGAAGTTATAAAGAAAAAAAATCATTAAATTATCCATTTAGTCCCTAGTGTTAAAGACAGTGGCATACTATTTCCTAATTTGATAACTACACAATAATTGTGATCATTACTATTACTAAGTCACTTTTTAACACTAATGTCTTTAAACATAATTTTTCGTCTCTATTCATAGGATTTTACTTGTATTATAAAAAAAAATTCATCCTGACTTTTTTTATTTTTGTTTCAGGTATACTTATAATCTTAATTATCAATAAGAAATAATTGGCACGTGGGTATTTTTTGGGATAATTTGTATTGAAGTGTTGGTTGACTAAGGGCTTTTGGGGGCATTGCAAGAGGCCTCAATGGCTTTTCATGTGTTGCTTGATGACTTCGAAATGCCTTAGAAGAACGTTCCATTTATTTTGGAGTTGCTTCAATATCTCTCAATATAGTACAACTTTCTCTCCATTATTATATGCACAGTTTTATACCAGCACAACTTTTGCTTTTCTTCTTGGATGTTATCAGAAAATCATAGATTCTCTCTTCTTGCATGTCTTGGTTCAAGAGAAAGTCCACGTTTTTTTTGTACAACTTAATTTGTAGATGTATCTTAAATTAATGTTTAACTTTGTTTCTTACTACTAGGGTGAGATCCTTAAATTATGTTTGTCAGTTCGTGCTTAAAGAATATTTTTTAGAATAATTAATTTTAAAGGGTTTAGATTTGTTGAATTTGAAAAAAAGGTAGCAAGCTGAATTATTTGGGCACCCCGATTTGGATTTGATCATCAACAAATCACCTAACCAAATAAAAAAATTTAGAAAACAAAAATCGTAGTTAGAAGGGAAATAAAAAATAATATTTAAAGTAAGAATTATATAGCTACACAACATAAAAAACAATATAATTACATGACACACACAAAGTAATAGAATTATAAAATAAAAAACAAAAAAATATATTGTAAATTATGTCTGGATTACAACGTTGCCGTCTATATCTATATCTAGACTAATTCATTTTTTTTTTCATTTATACTATTATTAAGTTAAATTTGTTATTACCATTAACGTTATTGAATTAAACTATTATAAAATTTGACTAATATATATTTATAAGAAATTTAAAAAAATAGTCAAATTTATTGATATGAAAATAAAATTTAACTATTTTGCAATCATGCACTGCCTCCCCATCTCTATCACTCAACTCTCTGCAAAACCTCACAACATTTAATCAGACTTTTTCCCTTTTTTCAATAATAACATATTAATATCTCACATTTTTTCTTATAATATCATCTTCATCATCAATTTTCTCAATAACCAACTTTCATTCTGTTCAAATTTTACTTGAAAGAATAAACTCAATAATACTCATACTAATGACTTTTTGTTTAATATATTACTTATTAATTTTATTTCATCGTTATAAAATTATCTATTCGTGCCATTTATTAAAAATATTGTTATTGTAAACGGACAGTATGATAGTGGACTTATAAAAGCACAGTTCCTGACTAATACTTAGAATCCATCAGTGTGATAGTGGGCTTTCTGGTGCAGGCAATATGAACGACATATCTTCAAGACTATGATTCGATGTAGCATTAAGCATAGACTGTACAATTCGCAACTAAATGTATATTACAGTATAATATAAAATATAATAAATATTTAAATTATTTTTCAAATCTACATTTCAGATTATACAATTCAAAATAATATTTTTAAATTTTGAATTACATAATTCAAAACATCTACAGAATACACAATCCAAAACTCTAATCACAATAGAGGTATTTTAAAAACTATGGACTGCATGAAGAAAACATGGGGTGCAAGAAGAAATTTTCTAAATTTTCTATATTTGAATTATATGAAAACCAATCACACACCGATTTGCCAAGCTCCAGTCTGAGCCAGGCCTCTAATATTACTAACTCGGCATTTCTTCCTACACTTCCCATTTCTCTTCCTCCACCTCACAGGCTTTGATAAAATGACATTTTTGGCCTCTCCTTTTTCTCCTATATCTAGCTTCGGAAATTCATTACCAATTATTTCATGCTTCCTTTAATCTTTTCTCCCATTCTTCTTTGGTTATGACTTTCTTCTATGCAGCCATTTCCTCCATTTGTGCAAGTTGACGAATCACAAGCATAGCAACGACATCACTGCACAAGATTATAAAAAACATTCATTGCTATTTGAGTGTTTCATAAAGTATTTTTGAATTTGAAATATTTTTCAGAACATTTAATCTAAATATATTACTTTTATTTTAAATCAAATATTCGAAAAGTTATTTTTAAATTTAGAAATACTTTTTTTTAAAACACCAAATCTAATGTTTTGAAAGATATTTCAATATTTTAAAATATCTTTCAAAATATTTAATTTGAAATGTTTTATTATTTTAATTTATATTTTAGATTATATAATCTTGAAGGCTTTTCCAAAATCTTAAAATATATTTTGGATGGTATAATTTTTTTCTAAATGTGAAAATATATTTCGAAATATATATTTTGGCATATGTGTTTTTTAATACATTCTAAAATATATTATCCAAAGGAAAATGACACTTGAACAACCATTTTTGACAACATTTAGACACGCGCACACGTGTCAAAATCTGAGTGGTCCAATTAAAAAAAATAAATAAAAATGGACCACTCAGATTTTGACACGTATGCGCGTGTCTAAATGTTGTCAAAAATGGTTGTTCAAGTATCATTTTCCTTATCCAAAACATGATTATAGATAAAAAAAATATATCTTTTGAATTATACAATCTGGAATTTATAAAAAAAAAAGGTGTATGAATAATTTTTACCTTTTTAATATAATTTTAATGAAGGGTAATTTAAAATTTAGGTTTAATACGTCATTTGGTCCCTATTTGTAGGGGTTTCGTTCAAAGTGATCCTATCTTTTAAAAAAGTTCAGTAAGGCCCCATATTTCGTTAAAAAATGTTCAGTCTGGTCCTTTTCGCTCACGCCGTTAAAATCATAATGGTCTAAATGCCAACGTGGCCAAACCTGAGTGAGTTGTGCTTTGATGAATACGTGGCACGTTTGAAGAGGTTGCACTGTGTAAATATTTAAAAAAAAATTAAAAAATAATGTAAGTTAGGTGCAAATCCCAGCAACGCCATCACTAGCTGGGTATCCTCAATGACGACGGCAGCAAGGGAGGAAGAATGCGCGGCCTCTGGCGGCTTGTGTGCGAAATAAGAAGCAATCCTAAGCTACATTCTAGAACAACTCGAGAGAGTGCGCAAGAGAAAAACCACCACCTTTTGTCCTCCACCTTGAGCGTAGTGAGTAATAGAGAGAAGACTA